TCCATTCCTATTACAGTAATAAAAAATATCTTGGTAAGATGCTTTCTCTGGTTAGTTAGGTTTGCTATCGACATTTCTATAATTGGAGAGTGAGTCACTTATAACTGGCACATTTTTTTGTGTCAGGCATATTCGAACACACAATCTTTGTGGTCGAAGTCTGGGCAGAAATCCACTAAACCTAGAGGTTCTTAAGCGTTTTCATTCAAATGTACCAGATGATACCGAATAATGGATATTCCTTTCCATTTAATAGCCATACAAATCGTTATGTATAACTATTCTAAACTACATCGCATAAATAATTTTAAAACAATCCAATTGTATCGGAGAAAGTATCTCGTTACTTATTTTGTTATCAACATTAACTCTTATTACATTTCCATAAAGTTCAATATATGTTGTTAAACCGTTTGTGTTTAGTTCTCACGGTGGTACTTACAAAGAAACATTCATTTCGCCCGTTGTAGATTCGCAACGGAGTCTGTTAATCCATTACAAAAGATGTTTCTCAAATTAGTACCACTTTGTAAGCAAATAGTAATATTAGACTATTTATAATGAAACGGAGAAATCTAACACAATCGTTTACTAGCAATTTACTGCGGCTTCGAACGTATATTTAATATAATTTACACAAAACTCTTATGAATTATACACCTAAACCATTCTTAGAAACATTGTTGTTGATGGATAAAAACAGCATGTTTATGAGGACAAATTTAGCGAACAATAGAAGCGACAAGGGACTTTGTTTTTATAATAAATATTAAAACTGTATCACTGACTGATGAAAGAAACCAATTGTCAACAAACATGAAAATGATACCTGACTTACAGGCATGCGATTTAATTAAAACTAGAGATCGGCCAGTAGTCGAAATTCGATCCTAAAATAAAAACATTAAAAAAAATTGTACTAGCAATAGAAATTAGATAAAAGAGTATATATGCGTGTGTATCAAATATATAGTAGTGTCTGTAATGTTTTATCTATTGACTTAATGATTTTATTAAAAATTAAAAAATATATAGCTATCTCTCTATATAACAAAGGTGTGCGAAAATTCTTAGTCTTCCGTCCGCTGATTTTCGTAAAAAGGAGTACAATATTTCTGCTTCACGTATTAATAGTAACTTAAGGTGTTTTACTACTTTCGATCAGGTAATCTATTTATTTTCCATTGCAGTTCCATTAACAAATATCAATAAATATTTATGCTAAATACATATTGGATATGGATTGGAATGCTTGCTAAAGCCACGGAAATTTTACGGTCAAACTTCTACAGCGAACTGTAAAATTTAGCACTCTAAAGTTGGAAAGAGCCGAAAGGTTGGAAACAATGCGTGGAGGTATGGCCGAGCAGCATAATTTGCAAGTTATTCAAATATGGCGACGGCGTTAACTATTTCGAGTGCAGCGATTTTGCTGCACTACACACGGTTATAATATCCATAGAGCATACTGCTTGTGGAGACTCAGTGACTGAGTCAGGCTATTCGGTACTTAATGAATTTATATTATTTTGTTTAATTCCGCTACAATTAGCGTGCGTGAGACCAAAAATTTGCGGAAATTTGACTACCGTTACGACCTTCTCAAATGGTGATCAAATTCCGACCGTTATTGAGTCTACATCCATATTGCGAATGTTTCGTCTCTAAACGAGGTATCATCAGGCATTGAATATAATTTGGATATAGCTTATTGTTACGGTTACTGATTAGACTATTTCCTTTTTACAATTGCAATGGCATATGCTAGTGGTTGCTCTATTCTCGCAAATTGAATTTAAAAATGAAACTTTATATTAGTAAACATGTCCAAGCTCATTTGAAAAGAATAAGAGCTGAGTTTCTTCTAAACTCACTCCATATTGACGGTAATTTTGACATATCATAACCAGAGTAGCAACATATGTGTGGTACCAAGGTTGTCACATGGTAACACGATGTCCGTTATGCTGTCCATGTATATTGGCGATACGAAAAAATACGGTTGACCACAATGAAGTTCGTAAGAGTACAAGAAAATGTATATATGGATGTTTATCTCTTATTAAATATGAACATATACTTATAGACGAGACTAAAGTAGCCAAGCAGATGATTTTTGTCAATCTATGAGCTTTATTGCCCGAGTTCATAATTCAATATTGCATTTAAACGATGCTGTACGTGCTTCAGAGCAATGTGTGCATGTCATAAGTATTTCGGATTATATACGTAAGTTTAGATAGCCCATTATACGCTGCTAGGCTTCTTAGCTTCACTGTAACAAGGTAACGTGATAAGACGGTAATGTACGTCGTACAAACGGATACAGTAAGTGAAATTTACATGTAAAATGGTAGTTTAAGTCTACTACCACCGTTCAGTGTAGCTGAACTCGTAAGTTATGCAGATTTGTAGAAGTCTTGTGGAAATGAGACGAATGGCATTTTCCCGTTATATTACCGAAGGCAAGTAACAGTAAATAATACGTTTAAGAGCTAAATGATTACGATTTAATGAAGAGGAAAACCAAAGGTTCTAAAAATTTATTAAAAAAATAAGTATATTATTCTTCAATTAGAGTTATTCAGTTGGAAAAATGATATTACTAGAAAATTTAAATTTAGAATTTGACGAAAAATTACTGAATTTTATAATCATATTTATTTCAGCATCAGATAATGATAATTATGTTTATTAATCAAACTCTTGCAAATTACTCATTTCAGCACTGACAAATTGGCGAGAAGTCGCAAAAAACCTTGGAAGCATCAATTGTCCTATTATCTATTCACATTATAAAAGTAGCACACTTTAGTAAATGGTTGGAGACAAGAACGAGAAAAACTCAGCTGACTAATTTCAACAATCCATCTTAGTCCGCTAGGAAGGTTTTTCAGGCGACCTCTACAAGTCCATTTAAGATACCAAAGCCATTTTCTCTAGAAAATATAATGACAAATGTTCCCATTTTGGATATAATTACAGTTCACTATTGATCTTGAGCAATAGCAATACATTTATCCTTCTCATTCTTCAATCATTAGGTATAATAATTTTTCTATTCTTTTTTCTAAAAACAACCCCTGACACATAATCAAAAAGAATTTGTATTGAAGTTTTATAAAGGGAACATTTACTACCGAATGAAAAATTTGACAGATTCTTAAAATAATTTAGATATCTACATTACTATAAGTTTTCGGGATAGTACAATAAGTACTTTCATTACACTTGGAAGTTTTTAAAAATATCATATTAGCAAATAAAATTAATCGGTATACACTGACTACTAACATGGAGTCCAAAAGTTGCAATTCCGTTGACAACTTTCTTAAAAAGAAAAGTTACCACTAAGAAATAATTTTTAAAAGCATTTACGAACGTGAACGGAAATCAACATGCCTATAGACACCTTGAAGTGATCTTCAAAAGTGCATCGAAGTTTTCCTTTTAAAAGGCAAGCGTAAGCCGTCACAAATCCACCTGAGGCAGTAATTGCACGAATTCCTTAATTAATAAGGACCTTCCAAGTTCACAAGTTGTGCGGAGATTCGAGAGGATTCATTGAGTTTGGAAGAACTTTCTAACGGGTGTCTCTAACTCCTTTGTAATGACACAAATCAAAATTACTAAGTAAGTATGTCTAAGTAGTAATTAAACGGGTTCCCGAGTTCCAGGTTCCTTCCTCGCTGTCAAACTTTGCTGTCGATTTTAAGTTTTGAAATAATGCTTTTATTGTATGTTTAATTGCTATAAATTTACTTATTTTCGAAGAATAACTAGCTAGTAGTGTTTGTTAAAAACTGAGACAAAATCTAAATATATATAACTCAAAGGTGACTGACATAGTGATCTATCAACGCACAGCCCAAACCACTGGACGGATCGGGCTGAAATTTGGCATGTAGGTAGATGTTATGACGTAGGCATCCGCTAAGAAAGGACTTTGATTAATTCTACCCCCAAAGGGATAAAATAGGGGATGAAAGTTTGTATGAAACTTTGTCAATTTTAAATAGATCGGGCTGAGACTTTGCATGCATAAAGCTACTATGACGTAGGTATCTCATAAGAAAGGAATTTGATAAATTGCACCCCTAAGTGGATAACTTAACGCAAGCCAAGCCGCGGGCAAAAGCTAGTAATGACATATAACCCTTTTAGTCATTTACTTTATAGTTTCCAAATAAAGAATTATGTAGAATTATATTCTTGAACGATCGGTTTTTGTTTCTCTGTACTTTATTTTACAGCATAATTGTATTCGACTTAGTATTAAATATATAAATAAAATTGGAGTGTCTGTTTGTAATATTGAAATAACAGTTTTTTATTGCATGCATAAGAATATAACTACGACACATATACCAAAATATTTTTTTTACAGTTTTTGTCAGTCTGTCTGTTTGTTCCGGCTAATTTCTGAAATGGCTAGACCGAATTTGACGGGACTTTTATTGGCAAGTAGCTGATGTAATAAGGAGTAACTTAGGGTACTTTTAATTTAGAGAAATAAAGTTAAATTCCACGCGGACGTAGTCGCGGGTACAGCTAGTATGAAATATAATTACAAACTTGCTGTTTTAATGATATCAAAACCATGGACATCGTTGAGATCAGTTTCACAGCAGTTACTAGATTTAATACATTAATAAGATGTTCCATATTGCTCAATATTGATGTTGAAATATATCTAGTAATATTGATCTATTGGCATTGCCATAAATTGGCTGATTTTCTCCTAACAATATAATTAACTAAATCTTGCCTATATAAACGTTCATTATTTAGCGGTAATTTTTATACTATCACTAGAACTATAAAATGTCTTTGTTCCTTGAGTGATTTTCCCCACTGACCTATGAGTCATTTTGTATTACTCTGACATACATATGCAAGTTCCCTATATTATATATATATTTTTTTAATTTTGTTCAAATAAGCCTATATATATGTACTAAGGTATAAATAAAAATTCTTATCTGTTTAAAAATACATACCTCCATCTTCCGGTATATTCAGCAACTTCTTCGCTCCAGGACTCGGACCTCGAACAGCAGACAACGCCCGCTGCAGCGTCTCACTCATCTGCTTAACACCAGCACATTGGCCAAACACTATCACAAACACCAAACACCACACTACACTTGGCGCATTGATCCTCACTCTCTTCCAGCTGGAATCCTGTTTCCCCATCGCCACACTACACCAAATGTTTGCCATGTCGCACTATCGTTTGCAGCTCGATAAAGCCTCAGCTACATTTTAATGAGGTGCGGTGACATCTGAAAAAAAAAAGACATTGGAAGTTAATTTTTTTTTACGGTGCAATAAAATGGCGGAAGCTTCATTATCGTTGTATTTTACTACGTCGTTACATTTTTCTTAACAATGAATAGATTGTTCTATGTAGTTAGAGCAGGATTCATTATATTTATATTACATTCATAAGTTCCATACATTCACGTACAATACATTACTCTATAATACTATATCATGTATTCACTCTTGTCTGTAATGCAGAAACAATTACTAAATATTCTATGACATCGGTGGTCTAACATAAGGTCTGCTTGGCTTGGGATTAAACGGTGTTGTGTGAATTATCCTGGGTTACTATTATTTCTAATTCCAACATTAATAGGATTTTTATGTTTCTGGTAGTTAAGGCGCGTTAATAAAAGCGCTATACAATGATTTGTTATAGTTTAAATGTCTGTGGTGTTGATCATATAAAAATGACAATACTTCAATATAAAATGACATCTTCCCTTTCAACCCCTTACAACCCTTTTTGCAATGCCTATGTCCTTTTTCAGGGTCTAGACTATCTGGATACCAAATTTCATTTATATGAGTTCAGTAGTTTTGGCGTGAAAGCGAGACAAACAGACACAGTTACTTTTGCATTTATAATATTAGTAAGTATAGTAATATACACAAAAAAACATAAAAGTTGCTTTAAATTGAAACTAAAATCGTTCTACATTGTGAACACATTATTCGATCACGATTATACAAATTGTGAACTTTCTACAATGGATAGTTTAATTACTTGTAAAGTTGGAAATATTGTGTTGTAAGAAAGTCTTTAGAGAGATGCGAAAAGATAAAAACGTAAAGCCAAGGCGTGAAACCGAGTTCCGAAGTCTTTCCGGCTAAAGTCGAGATTCCGAGCGTATAAAAGTTTGTTGTAAATTTTTAATCTGTTGAAATGTGGGTTTCTCATGTTACATACAAGTTGATTTAAGTTGCCAAGTCTAATGGCTTTGCTAAATTATTCTAAATATTTGCAAAACATAACAAATTGTTTCAGCCATTCGCGTATCTCGAGTTGAGATATATAAAAGTTTATATGCTACGCTGACTTTGATTAAAAAATGTTGAATTTATAATTAAAATTATGGATTTTCTTTTCATTAATTACACAGACCCATGAAGAGTAGATTAAGCTGAAAGCTAGGTGAATACTCCTAATACCACCTACTACACCACTAGGTGGTGTAGTAGGTGGTATTACTACACCTAATACACCACTTCAATTAAAGATTAAAGTTGAAACCAGAACCTTATTTCTAAGTTCATTTGGTTCAGTAATGGCTGAATAAATTTTCATACTTAATCGATCACCTGATTCAAGTTCGTATAAAGGTTTCAAAATTATTGTTTATTTCTTTGGAAATTTTATTTATTTCTTTGTTTTTTTTATTTGAAAAATTATTCAGTTACATATTACTACTTGCTTTTAGCATACCGTACATAATGAGCATTAATTTTTAGAAATTATTGCACCTACTAAGTGTAGAGTATATATTTTAATATATGATAATGTAATGGTGCACCCGCCTGCGCTAACGGCTTACGCTGGCAAGGCACCAGTAGAGGATGATGAGATAAGAAGTCGGAACAGTTATCGGATAGAATCTTGTTTATTATTACTATTACTGGTGTAATTTATCACAATGGTTGCCAGTCAACCTGAGATGATAAAGGTGGAATTAGAATATGTATACAATTTCTAGTTCTACAGCTGATTCTTTTACTAGAATAGTCTTTAGTTGTAGTTAGTAATTATTCACGTACTTCATAGGTAAGTGCTCTTACCATAGGATAATATTATCTTTGATACCTGAGGCCATATGTATTGTGTTTCGCATGCCTATTGGTGACGGTACATAATTCAGGATCAACTGACGTGAGATTAAATTACAAGTGTCTACAATTTGTTTAAAAAATATGTGTCATCTGTGTGACTCAAAAACATTCAATCTACGCCGTGTAGATTGATTTTTTTTGCCATAACTCCTTACTAAAATATCGGTAAGTATGCATTTTCAAAGACATCGATGTCAAAATCGAAAAGAACAAATCTACATTAAGATAAAATCCGTCACACTTTCTATATATTTAAAATTCGCTTCCGCAAAGCTAAGCCGACATTGATTATGAGGAAAATACGTAATCTGGTTCAGGAGACAATCGAATCCAGATAAAAATCGTCAAAAAGGAACATTTTAATATTCATTAGGTAGATTAGATTGGTAGAGAAACGAAATGTATTAGGGTTGTGCATTGCAGAATTTTACTTGAAAATCACATATTATATATTCTAGTTATTTTAGACTGTTACCTTCACGAATGCTTTCCTAAATAGGCTTGTCAGAGGCATTGTCAACTGTCGACGTTATGGTTAACGCGTTATCTGCGTAAATTCGTATTTGCTTAACCGAGTAAAATACGACGTTTGTTACCTAATATTTTTAATATTATATTATCGATTTATTATTTGTCAGTACACACAGTTCGGTGTCGCCGAGTACATCATATATATCTATAATTCCGAGTATTTTTCTATTTATATTATCATTACTAAAAAAATTATTGTACTGTATTCTTGTGATATATAATAATTATATTTCAATAGTAATAAAATTTTGATACAGTAACATTACTGTAATCAAAATCCGTTCAGTAATTTTTGCGTGAAAGAGGAAACAACATACTCACAAACTTTCGCGTTTATAATATCAATAAGATTTAATTAATTATAATATATAAAACAACTTCTATATTTGACGTTTTATTAAAGAACATGACAACCCTATCTATGGACGTGCCACAGAGTATAATAATTATGGTAACTACCTATTAGCTGAATTTACTACTCATATTAATTATGCATTGTTTTCTGGACTGTGTTATCTTGAGTATTAATTGGAAATTGTCATTTGATGTCCCAAGCAGTCGTTAATTCTCGAGCGGACGCAATACAGATTATAAATGACAGATTAATAATAACGGCTTTTTTATTGAAATCTTGTGTAGTGATAAATGGCACTGCTCTTATGAGCATCAAAACTAAATTTAATCAAAATAATATCATTACATACAATTCAAACAGCGCCATCTAGACACAATTTAAGCTAACTAAAGCTTGTGTTATGGATAACTGATACAAATAAATAGATTTTTTTTTTCGTATATACCTACGTATTGTACAGAGAAGATAACCAGACCGATACTAACAATCATACTCATGAATACAAATGTCTGTGTAATGCGAGGAATCGAACCCGCGACTATCGAAAGTAAGGCGGTGTGCTAAACAGCTAGACCACCGAAGCCGTTAATCTATGCAAAGTATTCTGTTATTTTCGGTTACCCCTTCCATTATAGCCTCTATTTTCCTATCCAGTTCACTCTCTTGTCTTCTCCTGTTCCTTCTCTTTAACCTTGCCTTTCCCTATTTACTTCTCACTATTCTACAATAAAATCTACTGTAGTTGGCAGTGTTACTTATGAAAATTGTTATTACCTACTTTTTAAGCCAAAACCTTAAAAAATAATCTATACAACTGTGCTTAATACAATGCGTAAATGTAGTCTCATATTGAATTATATTCAGTTTAGTGCATTGTGTGCAAACATTTATAGGGTATAAAAGCTAGACAATTAGATTTTTTTTACATAAACTCAAGTACACAATACTAAATCAAGCAGCTATTCTTATATTGTAATTATAGAATATCTGACCCTGTTGTTATAACAACTTTTTTAAAACATAACCTCAAAACGTACCTCAGTAAACATCACAACAATCCCATATAACGTGATCCAAACACTGGCCACTATTCACCTTGAATACACAAATAACACTAATTAAAAATCAAACTTTTAAAAATGGAACAATATATTGAAATCTCTATTTAATTTACTAATTCTAAACGGGAATCCGACTGTAACATCGGTCGCGCCGCGAAAACAAAAGTAAACTAACCTAAAAGATTCACTGGATCGCGTTCCGTCATTCGATCATAAAAATTTGACCGCTTACAAACCATTTCAAAGGGACTCTCAGTCTTTACGAGTGATTTGAGCATACACAACTCTACACATTTAATTATCGACTTTATTTACCTGACGGGAAGAACTAAAATGCTACAACTTCATTACAAAAGAGTGTGTGTATTAAAACTCACGAAGAAACGGAACGCACTAATCTTTTGTATTCAGTTCTCTACCTGCGTCTCAGTTCTTTTTTTCATTTTGGAAGCTGTGATAATGTTTTGAAAAGATTTAATCGTACCTTATGTTCTTAACTATAAGATTGTAAATTGAATGGAAGTTATATTTTTGTTAGATATTGCAAACGCCTACGGTTGCTTTTTCTATTATGCAGCTGTAAGGGCCCAATCAGCCATGCGGTTAAGCGAAATTCCTATAATAGTTCTGAGAACGCTCCCATATTAAACGAAAGGCTATCTAAATAAATCTAGTTCCATAAAGGTTTTAATAGGGTGGCATTTTACTTAAGTCGTAAGATCGACAGTTAGCGCTTTCTTGAATTTCATAGTTAGCCAAATAGTAAAACGATTGGTTTAGTCAGATGGCGCTATATTTGGACAGTAAAGAAAATTATTGAATCTCATCATGCCATAAAGTCGATTGTGACCGACATAGCTTACATGTTTTAACCAACTTTGCAAACAAACAAGTACTTAATTAGTATGTATTTTACGCCGAATCATTTCCTTAACTGTAGACAAACTTTCATACAACTTAAAAATAAGTTTAATTAAATACCATTGGAAGAATCAAAGAATTGTTTTTTACTTTTATTAACTATTTGTCGCATAACGTGAAAGTGTATAAGAGTGTGGTTTTAATGATAATTTGGTTTTCTGTTGTTGCAATATTCTGTAGTTGCCATGTTATCATCCATATATTCCACAATTATATCCGTTACCCTCAGATTGTCATAAAACGTATGTTTTTAGTATTATGG